GTAGAGTTCTTGATACTCCTCCCATGGCGTTTTTCCTTGCAATTCAAAATTTTTGGTTCTCTCAGAAATGGTGGATAACCGTGTCACAAAACCCTCTCACGGTCGCCCGACAAGATAAACCCGGAATCCAGATTGAGCGGGTTGGAAGGTCAAACTCAGTCCTACCCCATCGTTTACAATACGGATTCGGGTACTCAAACAATCAATACAACCCAATACAATATGTCGCCTATATTTGATTATTTATGAAATAATCCTTAATTTTATTTCACATTCGATTATTTTCACAACACAACAAATTCTGTTTTTCTTTAAAGGCATGCAACATGTGGGTGTCCAGTCCACTCTCAGAGCAAGTCCACTCCTAAAGACTTTGTGCCAGCACCCATCCTATTTATCCACTTCAGTGAACGATAACATATTACAATGAACAGTAATAGGCCAATGCATCTCTACCCCTAAAAAAATGCGCTGGCACTCAGTGAAAAAATGCGTTGGCACAAACGATCTTCACCCCTACAAAATGCGCTGGCACCCAGCCCATTTAAAATATTTTTAAATTTTTTCTAAAAGAATATAAAAAATAGTTTTAATTTCGGATAGGATTTTTAACCAATCTCGTCACGCCACATGACATCTTCAATGAGCTTCCACGAAGACATTTTTTTTCTCTTAAAGTGTAGAAAATATTGAAATACAGATGGTATAGAAAGTGTAGAAAATATTGAAATGTGGTGAAAGGTAGAAGATGATGGTTAGGTATTTATAGAAAGAAAAAAAACTTTTTTAAAATTTTACTGTATTTTTTTATAAAAAAATCTGTATTTTTTTATATTTTTTTAATTAATTTTAATGTAGTTAATTAATCTGGACCGTTGGATTTGAAAAATATTCATATCCAAGAGCCCAGGATCTACCACGTGGCCAACGGTCATAAATCTGACCGTTGGACCCTTTTTTTTTGGGGGGGGGGATAAAACATGGATTGTTGATCTATGATCGAACGATCCAGTTTAAAAGTAAAATTTAAAATTTTGTTACCGTTGAAAATCTAACGGTCTAGAAAAACTAGCGTTGGAAATCCAATGATTCTAAGCGAGCCACGTTGCTGCAACACAAGTGGGCTGACAGCACCTGCCGGCTTGTCTCCTACTCGCTGCCAAGCGCGCGTGCAGTCCATGCTCCAGCCAAATAAGGCGGCTCTTGGGTCTGTCAAAAAATGGCTGGTTTGTTGACTGGCATGAGTTGTGTGCTAGGCAGCCCGACGAGCTGGAGTGAATTCCCTGAGCCTCAGCTTGTTATTTGGACAGGATGCTGGGCAAAAACCACTCTGGTGGACTTGCTCTCATGAATCAAAACCTTGGACCGTATTCCACAACACGAGAATATATATAAGGGACTTCTTATTCCGACTCCCAAAAAGTCATCCTAAACTCTGGTGAACCTACATACTCGCTGAACCGCTTCCCAAATCTAACTCCATACATTTTCACCCAAAAAAAAATTTGTACAACATGTTAAATTCAAGTTGTAGCTCTATACATAACATTACCTTTTGCCAAATCTTTGACAGGTTACTCATTCAACTAGACTGGTATTAAAGAATTCCAAGCCATTGCACATTAAGATCCACCTCCTGTACATCATATGAAAAGTTTTGACGGAAAATCCAATTGATTCTTAAAAAAGCACTTAATTAAAGTACTACTTGAAGAAGCACCAAGTACTTGCTTCTCCAAAAAGCACTTGAAAATTGTTATCCATAAGTGCATTTGATTGTGTTCTATTGATCGCTGACAAAACACAGATAATCAAAGCCGCTTCTAACAACCTTTGGCAGCTCAAAACAGAAGCTGTCAATCCAATGTTCTTGTGCGGATGTTGCAGACCGCAATATGTTTTATTCAGGCTGAACGAATCAATCCAAACAAACAATCCACTATGCATTCAAAATGATAATCACATCCTGGGAATTAAACCCTTGCGTATCGGTATCTTTGTTCTGCTTGTGTCGTTTGCACTCGAACCTCTGTGTTATGTTACTGCCGAAGTTGTTGCTCCGCATTGCAGTCGAACCTCTGTTTTATTCAGGCTGAAATGTTTCAAGGAAGATCCAGTTTTGAAGGGTATACTTATTCCCCTTCATGCTTGTTTTAATGCACAATTTTCTTTTCTTTTCTTTTTTTTTTTTTAGGAAAACCTCGACGATACGAGGGTAATTTTATTCATAACGAAAAAAACAAGTTATACTTAGTCAGGGGGGGACATAAACCTTACCCCTCCAAAAAACAAAGACAACAAAAGGAATACACTAGAAAGAAGGGGGGACATAAACCTTACCCTTATAGAAACAAAAAATGAGAATGAAACAAAGAAAAGAGGGGGAGACATGAAACCTAACCCCTCTAGAACCAAACATGAAGGTCTAAACCTGCAAAACAAGTCAAACAACACCATAAAGATAGGAGAAAAAAAAAGTAAGACAAATATGGATGCCGACATGCACATTAATTTGAGAAGCGGTAACCAGGCAAGCCAATATAGTTAGAAAATAGAGTAGCACGAACCGCCATCGGAGGAGAATCATGCCATGTTAAAGATGGAGAAGACAAACCCATGTTAGCAAAATTGTCCGCAACAAGATTTCCTTCTTGATATATGTGAAATGCGTAGAAAATCATTTTCCGAATGCGATCCAAACAAATAGACCATTGCGTATGAAGAGGCCAAGGAGGATCAAAATCAGATGATTGAAGAGCAAAAATAACACTAGAACTATCACTTTCCAACCAAAGATAGTGCCAACCCCGCTGATAAGCAAACTCAATACCAATAATAATTGCTGATAACTCTGCAAAAAAAAAAAAGAGTTGCAATGACCAATCCGTTGACAGAAACCTCCGAGAAAACGACATGGCAATTCCTAAAAACACCTCCACATGCAGCAGGACCGGGATTTCCTTTAGACAAACCATCTGTATTAAGCTTAACACAAGGAAACCAAGGAAAAGACCAAAGGACAGGAAGAATAGTAGGTGCCTTGCGAGGGATAGGTTGGATCCCCAAAGAAGAAATGATCCGAGTGTCAAAACCCTGAGAATAACCAGGAATAAACTTCCCACCATGAACAATCGCCGAACTGATAGACATGCAAAGACGATGAAAATAGATTGGACGACCCTCAAAAATAAATTTATTTCAAGCCTTCCAAATAGCTGAAATAGTAGAAAGAGTCGCAAAAATCCATAGATTGTGCAATTGTTTGGAAAATGGCTTACAAACATATACATCCCAAAAAGCAACCAAAGAATCCGGAAGTGGTAAAGATGTACCAAATTGACATGCTAACCACCTCCAAAGTTGCCTAGATATCCGACATTCAAAGAAAAGATGAGCAGTAGATTCTTCAGAATTATGAGTTGATACTGCACAAGTATTACGTTAAAAATTAATTATTATATAAAAGTGATGATGCAAAGTGATTCTGCACACTTATGTTGAACACGTATTACGTTAAGAATTAATGTTTATATAAACTGATGCTGCACACGTATTACGTTAAAAAATATATTTCTCATTAATGGTTACAAACGTTGGCTAGATATATTTCTCATACATATCATGTAAATTCACATGTTATAAAAATTCTAAAATCTGCCAAAAGACCACCCACCTATCGCCATATGCTTTTATTCCTTGTCATAACCACGCTCATACACTAGAAAATGATAATTTTACAAAAGATTCCACACCTATAGCCAATTGCTTTAAGTTGACAATCGATCACTTAATTGCACTTTCTCACAGAGATCAAATTGAATTTAAAGGCACACCCATCAGTGTGTTCATGTAATTATAATATTGTACGTATGGGTTACAAATTGAATTTAATTGCACTTTTCGTTGTTATTGTTTCATATGAACAGAGTGTGCAAGAAATGAGAATGTTATTAACGTGTGTCCTGAGTATCAAGTCATTGAACATGAAGAGTTTTGGGATTTATCAGCTTCCTCAGCCATTGCGAAAGCATATTTCTGGACATCACGCCGCCTTTATGCTACAATCGAGGGTGGAAAAGACTTGGTTGATCTTGCTAAAACCATTTCCAGCAAGTTCCCTAGAGAAAAACAGAACATGGAAATTTATCCTGACCCTTCCGGTGATCCATGTGTTTTTGTCATCTGCACTCGGACCCCCGTGTTTTTGTTACTGCCGGAGTCGAAGTTGTCGGGGGTTGTGTTGTTCATGCATCTGAACTTACACTGGACCAAGTTGGTGATTGCTACATAAAATTTTATCATCTTGATACCACTCCTCCGGGCGGAGTTCTCTGAATTTAACATAAATTCTTCCTACCCTCTGTTTTCTCAATTCCTTATTTCTTATCTGCATTCTCAAAAGATCTACACCAGCAGAACAGTTCCAAGAAAGCATCTTGCATGCTAAGAGAAAACAAGAAACCGGTCTTCACATCACGATACCACAACATTAAAGGTTAGGAAGAAAAAGAAAATGACAGTGCGGAATTAATCGATGCACACATATGCAGTCTAAAATGGTGAAATATATATTCAGTAAACGTGCTCGTGTATTTGAACCAGCTAAACTTTGTTCAAGCATCGCATATTTTCAGTAAGCGTGCCCATGTATTGAACCAGCTACACTCTGTTCAAACATTGTATGAAGTACATGCTCGAAAGTGACACCAATCATCTCCATATCTGATCACTTCCTAAACTACGAGTAAATTACTTTCCCCATCGTGGCAGCTAAAATCAAATCACTTATACAGCTCCGGCTTCAAAACACCTATGTATGGTAAGTTCCTGTAACGTTCAGCAAAGTCCATTCCATAGCCCACAACAAAGTAATCTGGACACTGCAGAGACAAATAAACAGACAAGTTTGATAGCGTATAAATGAATTTCCAAAGCTCAAAAAACTTTAGACTTACAGGACAAGAAACAATACAAAACGTTTATCTGTAATACTCAGGCATACAAGTCCAACACTTGCGAAGAACGCATTACTTCAAATCAAGTTCATATTCAGAGCTTCTAAGAGTTCCACATAGAAAATCAATACGATGATTCCATGACATCTCTATATAAATTCTCAGCCGTTAGATTATAGATCATCTGAGTCACCGCCACGTGATTTAAGGGATGAAAAACATGTCTGGATTCAAGTACTTAATTTGAGAATATCCTACACACACGAGTAAAGTTCTCATGGGAAGCAGTCTCGCAAGTCGCAACATATAACATTACTCCATATAACATACATATACCCAAAATGGGTAATGATTCTGTAACTTTTCTATGATAACAGCCTTGACCAGCTTAGGACCTGGAACCAATAAAGGCCGGGTAGGGGCGATCGACCCCACAAGGCATTTTTGTTAGCTATTCCTCTTCATTCGCATTTGTATACAATGCATTTTCTAAATCATGTATCGAAGATTGATTGTATAAAGAATGTACACAATTTTCGCGCAAACGCATTAAGCAGTCCAAATAATTATCCATCGAAAGAAGACCGAATCAATCAAGCATCAAATGCGGGGTTCCTCTAAACAGCTTTCAGAGTAATATATCTTTGTTTGCAACAGATTCAATGCAGCTAAAGACTAAAAATGGGGAAGAAGAAACGGATTTGACCTCGAAACCGCGGTAGAATTTTCCCTTGCTGAGAAGCTGAAAATCAACCTTCCGTCTCGATGGTTTATCCAGAAATGTGCAGACCGACACAGACGAAGCACCTTTCGATTCCATGTGCGCAATCAGATGCGCGATTGTAGTCCCCGTATCCACAATGTCCTCAACCTAAAACACACAGGAAACGGCGTCGCATTTAAGAACAACATGAAGTTTCAATTACAACTGTGGATAGAGTTGCAGTCTTGCAGATAATAGGTTAAGGAAGGAGGGCGTACCAGGACGACGTGGCGGCCGGTGACGTCGAGCTTCAAGTCGAAGGAGATCGTGGGGAAGCCATTGGACTGGGTCCCGGAGCCGTAGGATTCGGCGCGGATGAAGTCGACGGTGACGGGGAGGGGGATTTGGCGGGCCAAGTCGGCGAGGAAGAGAAAGGCGCCGGTGGCGACGCCTACGAGGGCAGGGGCAGGGGGTTCGGAGAAGGGGGAGAGATCGGCGGAGATCTGGGCGGCGAGGTCGAAGACACGGGTGGCGATTTGGTCCGGAGTCCAGAGGACCCTCTCTATGTGAGAGTCCAAGGACATGGAAGTGGGCAACGGGTTTTTGGGAAGGAATTAGGTTCTAATAGGGTTTTGGAAAGGAATTTTATGTAAGAAACTAATGAAAATGACTTGAAAACTTTGAGTTTTAACGATAAGGATAAAATAAAGGGTAAAGTGAATAGTATTATGATTGACTTTTTAATGCAAAAATGTGGTTTTTCGTTAAAGTGAACAGTACCGGGAGCTTTTCGTTAAACTTCTTTTTATATATACTAAAACCCAAACGGGTGTAATACTGTTGATGAACAGTGAAAGTAACAGTGTTTTTCCGTTTTTGCCCTTCTATTCCTTTGTGTTATGATTTTTTTGGACCATTTTATCCTTCCACCAACACTATGCGCCCGGACATGCTCTTATTCCTTTTGGGCACGTTTGTTTGACAGGATTCGCTGGGACTGGACTGGACTAGACTATAGTCCAGTGTTTGGTGGGTACCGGGATTAGCTTTAATGAGCTTAGGTGGGATTCGCTAGGACTAAGGGGGGGCTTAGCCGTTCTTCACGAGGGATCCCAAATTCGGGCGGACTCGTAAGCCAGAGAAACCGCGTCTTCCCACATCTCACATCCCACATCGTCCTCATCTCTGCGTCTGCCCTCGTCGTCGTCCTTGCCGTGCTCCCACATCGTCCTCACGCTCATCGTCGTCCTTGCATCTGGTCGCTGTCATCTGCCTCTAGTCGGTAAGCTTCGAATCTTGGATTTTTTTTCGTCGATTTGTGTGGATTTGTTTGTGATATTAACTGAGGTTTATTTGATTTTGTTGTTTTGGGTTTGAGAAATTCATAATATACAAGTGGATTTGCAATTGAACAAATTAGGGTTTTGTTATTTAGGTGAAATTGAGATTAGAATTTGGGGTTTTCATAAGATGAAATTGAGATTAGTCTCAGGTGTGTGCTCTCTGTGTGTGTGTGTTTGTGTGTACCGAAAAAAATTTGTCTGTGTGTTTGTGTGTGTGTGAGTGTGTTTGTGTGTGTGTGTGTGTGTATGTAATCTGTGTAACCTGTGTAATATCTGTGTGTGTGTGAGTTGTGTGTGTAAAATGTGTGTGTAATCTATCCGTGTGTGTGTGTGTGTAACCTGTGTTATTTGCAGTGTGTGTGTGTGAGTTGTGTGTGTAAAATGTGTGTGTAATATGTCCGTGTGTGTGTGTAATCTGTTTTTGTGTGTATGTGTGTGAGTTGTGTGTGTAAAATGTGTGTGTGAGTGTGAGTGTGAGTGTAAGTGTTTGTGTGTGTGTGTGTGTTTGTGTGTGAGTGTGAGTGTAAGTGTGAGTGTGAGTGTAAGTGTGAGTGTGAGTGTGTGTGAGTGTGAGTGTGTGTGCAGTGTGTGTGTGTGTGTGTGTGCAGTGTGTGTGTGTGTGTGCAGTGTGTGTGTGTGTGTGTGCAGTGTGTGTGTGAGTGTGTATGCAGTGTGTGTGTGTCTATGCAGTGTGTGCAGTGTGTGTGTGTCTATGCAATGTGTGCAGTGTGTGTGTGTGGGCGCAGTGTGTGTGTGTGTGTGTGTATGTATGCAGTATGTATGCAGTGTGTTGTGTGTGTGCAGTGTGTGTGTGTGTGTGCAGTGTGTGTGTATGCAAGTATTGTATGCAGTGTGTGTGTGTGAGTATAAAAACAGAGTGTGTGTGTGAGGGTAAGAGTGTGTTGCACTCTGTCCCCGTGTGTGTGTGTGTCACTGTGTTCAGTGTGTGAGTGTGAGTGTGTGTGAGTGTGAGTGTGTGTGCAGTGTGTGTGTGTATGTAGTGTGTGTGTGTGTGCAGTTTGTGTGTGTGTGCAGTTTGTGTGTGTATGCAGTGTGTGTGTGTGCAGTTTGTGTGTGTGTGCAATTTGTGTGTGTATGCAGTGTGTGTGTGCAGTTTGTGTGTGTGTGTATGTGTGTGTCCAGTGTGTGTGTGTGTGTGACTGTGTTCAGTGTGTGAGTGTGAGTGTGTGTGCAGTGTGTGTGTGTGTATGCAGTGTGTGTGTGTGTGCAGTTTGTGTGTGTGTGTGTATGTATGTAGTATGTATGCAGTGTGTGTGTGTATGTATGCAGTATGTATGCAGTGTGTGTGTAAGTGTGAGTGTGAGTGTGAGTGTGAGTGTGAGTGTAAGTGTAAGTGTGCAGTGTGTGTGTGTGTGTGTTTGTGTGTGAGTGTGAGTGTGTGTGTGTTTGTGTGTGAGTGTGAGTGTGAGTGTGAGTGTGTGTGAGTGTGTGTGCAGTGTGTGTGTGTATGCAGTGTGTGTGTGTGTGTGTGTGCAGTGTGTGTGTGAGTGTGTATGCAGTTTGTGTGTGTGTGTGTGCAGTGTGTGTGTGTGAGTGTGTATGCAGTGTGTGTGTGTCTATGCAGTGTGTGCAATGTGTGTGTGTCTATGCAGTGTGTGTGTGCAGTGTGTGTGTGTGTGCGCAGTGTGTGTGTGTGTGTGTATGTATGCAGTATGTATGCAGTGTGTGTGTGTGTGTGCAGTGTGTGTGTGTGTGTGCAGTGTGTGTGTGTGTGTGTATGTATGCAGTATGTATGCAGTGTGTGTGTGTGTGTGCAGTGTGTGTGTGTGTGCAGTGTGTGTGTGAGTGTGTATGCAGTTTGTGTGTGTGTGTGCAGTGTGTGTGTGAGTGTGTATGCAGTGTGTGTGTGTCTATGCAGTGTGTGCAGTGTGTGTGTGTGTCTATGCAGTGTGTGCAGTGTGTGTGTGTGCGCAGTGTGTGTGTGTGTGTATGTATGCAGTATGTATGCAGTGTGTGTGTGTGTGTGCAGTGTGTGTGTGTGTGCAGTGTGTGTGTGTGTGTGCAGTGTGTGTGTATGCAAGTATGTATGCAGTGTGTGTGTGTGAGTATAAAAAACAGAGTGTGTGTGTGAGGGTAAGAGTGTGTTGCACTCTGTCCCCGTGTGTGGTGTGTGTGTCACTGTGTGTTCAGTGTGTGAGTGTGAGTGTGTGTGAGTGTGAGTGTGTGTGAGTGTGAGTGTGTGTGCAGTGTGTGTGTGTATGTAGTGTGTGTGTGTGCAGTTTGTGTGTGTGTGCAGTTTGTGTGTGTATGCAGTGTGTGTGTGTGCAGTTTGTGTGTGTGTGCAATTTTGTGTGTGTATGCAGTGTGTGTGTGCAGTTTTGTGTGTGTGTGTGTATATATGCAGTGTGTGTATGTGTGTGTCCAGTGTGTGTGTGTGTGTGACTGTGTTCAGTGTGTGTGAGTGTGTGTGCAGTGTGTGTTGTGTGTATGCAGTGGTGTGTGCGTGTGTGTGTGCAGTGTGTGTGTGAGTGTGTATGCAGTTTGTGTGTGTGTGTGTGCAGTGTGTATGCAGGGTGTGTGTGTAGTGTATGCAGTGTGTGTGTAAGTGTAGTGTATGTAGTGTGTGTGTGTGTGTGCAGTGTGTGAGTGTGAGTGTGTGTGTGTGTGCAGTGTGTATGCAGGGTGTGTGTGTAGTGTATGCAGTGTGTGTGTAAGTGTAGTGTATGTAGTGTGTGTGTGTGTGTGCAGTGTGTGAGTGTGAGTGTGTGTGTGTGCAGTGTGTATGCAGGGTGTGTGTGTAGTGTATGCAGTGTGTGTGTAAGTGTAGTGTATGTAGTGTGTGTGTGTTTGTGTACTGTGTGTGCAATGTGTATACAGTGTGTGTGTTTGTGTACTGTGTATGCAGTGTGTGTGTGTATGCAGGGTGTATGCAGTGTGTGTATGTATGTATGCACTGTGTGTGTACTTGCAGGGTGTGTGTGTAGTGTATGCAGTGTGTGTGTGTAGTGTTATGTAGTGTGTGTAGTGTATGCAGTGTATGTAGTGTGTGTATGTATGTACTGTGTTTTGCAGTGTGTATGTATGCAGTGTGTGTGTAGTGTATGCAGTGTATGTATGTACTGTGTTTGCAGTGTGTATGTATGTACTGTGTATACAATGTGAATGTTTTGTATTGTGTGGGGTTGATGCTGAATTGCAATTTGTTGTGGTTGTTGGTTGCAGAGAAGAGGAGCATAAACGGAAGGCTAAGGCTAAGGCTACTGCATTACAGGTGTCCTTTAATTTCCCTTTTCACATGCAATGCCTAGCAATGATAGCAATCCTCATACTAGTGTTCTTAGACACATGTTTATAGATGTATAAGAGTAGAACATTTTGAATATGATGCCTCGGGTTAATGAAAACTTTTTTTTTTCAACGCCATATGTATATTTGTTGCCTCGGGTTAATGATTTAGTTAATTTGTTTTTTGTTTTTTGTTTTTGTTTGGATAGATATGGATCGAAGGAAGCTTTTATTGATCTTATTGTTAGAGATGTCTTATTTGGAAACAATTTGTATTTGTACGATTCTTGTGGTGATGATGCTACGTGGCAAACAGAGACATGTTGAACGACCCACATTGACTAACCGTTCACTTATTAGACGAGAGATTAGTTTGTGTTATCTGAATGGTATAATAGGGAATACTGATACTGAATGTGTTAACGAATTGAGAATGGATAGAAGGACTTTTGGCATATTATGCGACTTACTTCGTCAAGATGGGAGGGTAAAAACTGATGGTTTGGTGTCTGTAGAGGAACAGGTGTGTATGACTTTACAAATATTAGCACATCATACTAAGAATCGTAGTGTTGGCGGTAGATTTTATAGGTCGGGAGAGACTATAAGTAGGTATTTCAATAGCGTATTGCAAGGAATTTTGCGATTACAAGGTTTCCTACTAAAAGTCCCACAGCCTGTGCCTATTGATTCTACAGATGCTAGGTGGCGATGTTTTAAGGTATGATGAGAAATATTTTTCATTTTCCTTAAGCTTTAACTCTTCATTCCCTTTGTATAAATTAACAAAAAGTTTTTTTATTTTTTATTTTTAAGAATTGCTTGGGAGCATTGGATGGAACACACATTGATGTGCATGTACCTGAAATTGACAAACCAAGATACCGAACAAGAAAGGGTCGAGTCGCAACTAATGTGTTAGGTGTGTGTTCAGGAGATATGCAGTTCATATATGTGTTTCCGGGGTGGGAGGGTTCCGCATCAGACTCTAGAGTGCTACATGATGCAATTAGTAGGCCTAATGGTTTTAAGGTACCAGCGGGTAAGACTATTACTTAGTCTCAACTTTCTAAGTTAGGTTTAGTTCTGTTTGTCAACTACAAAAACACTAATAAGGTCTGTTTTTTTTTTTCATTAGGTTGTTATTACCTTGTAGATGGTGGTTATACAAATGGTGAAGGATTCCTTGCACCCTATAGAGGAATACCTTATCATTTATCTGAATGGGAGGGACGAACACCTTCTAATAAGGAAGAATATTTTAACATGAAGCATTCTAAGGCAAGGAATGTAATTGAACGCTGTTTTGGCTTGCTAAAAGGAAGGTGGTCGATACTAAGGAGTCCATCTTTCTATCCGATAAGGACACAAGGTCGAATAATTACCGCTTGTTGCCTACTACACAATCTTATTAGGCAAGAGATGTCAGTAGATCCAATGGAGAATTTGCCAATAATAGAAGATGGACAAAATACAGAAGAAGGTGAATATGTTGGTAGTGTTCAATCATCGGACCAGTGGACTGCAATGAGGAATGATATGGCTGAGGAAATGTTATAATGAGTGGAGAGCAATTAGGAACCAGCAACCGAACTAGCTATATGTTTTTAATGATAACATTTTATTTTAGTATTCCTTTTTATCATGCATTTGTTAGATATTAGCACAATGATTGGATGGTATGCAAATTAATTGGATATTATGCAAGTTGATTGGATATTATGCAAGTTGATTGGATATTATGCAAATTGATTATTTGTATGGTATTTTCCTTCATTAAAATATTTTAGTATTCCTTTTTTTTTATCATGCATTTGTTAGATATTAGCACAATGATTGGATGGTATGCAAATTAATTGGATATTATGCAAGTTGATTGGATATTATGCAAGTTGATTGGATATTATGCAAATTGATTTATTGTATGGTATTTTCCTTCATTAAAATATTTTTTGTTTAGGTATGGATAACGAAAATATTTTTGAATGCTACTCAAGAGCCAAAAGGAAGAAGGCGTAAATGGGAAGCATTTGAGGAAAGAAGTATTACTAGGAGTTCTTGAGGATTTTTGTTGCTCGGAAGCAACGGTGTGACACCGGTGCTTTCAAACAAGGTACTTTGGTTGAAATAGCAAAAAGCTGTCAATGTTTTATGTCCTCATTCAAATATAAAGGCAAATCCACATATTGAGTCCAAGTTGAAGAAAATGGAAAAAAACATATAGTATGGTCGTTGACATGATAAACACAAGTGGATTTGCATGGAATGATGTCAAAAAGTGCGTTGAAGTTGACAGTGATGACGCATGGCAAACTTATGTGCAGGTTCATATCCTATTTTATTTATGCATTAGTTATATTCTTGCTCCTATATTTTGATACGCATGCTAAATTTTAGTTTTGCTATGTTGATATAATCTTAGAGAAATAAAGAAGCCGATGGATGGAGAAGCAAACCTTTTCCACTGTTTGATAGATTTGCATATATATTTGGAAAAGATCGGGCTACGGGTAATGTAGCCGAAACCCCTGCTCAAATGGTGGAGGAACAAAGTCATGATCATGTTGGTGAAAGTGATATTGGAGGTGATAATTTTGTTTCTTCAATGAACCAACAAAGCCAACAAAGCACCCCATCTGAAAATAGCCAAAGAAAGAGGAAAAGAGCTGTGGGAAGTTCAAGTGATGGAACCGAGGCAATTATCAGTGGACTGAAAGATTTTTATGTTGAAAGTGGGAAGAGGATGCAAATGGTAACTGAAGCTTTAGTTCAAGGTACTGCAGATCATACTGACATAGCTAATGAACTTGAAGCAATGGGTCTCTCTCCTATGGATCAAATTGATGCATTGTCTCTTATTTTGGATAAACCAAAAAATGTGGGAGTGTTCAGGGCAATCAAACCGGAACTCAAGAAAGTGTTCGTCCAAAGACTTTTAAGAGACAACGCAAGCGGATGAGGATTTTGGCTAATGTTAACATGGATGTATTTTATTAACGTTAACATGGATGTATTTTATTAATCATACAGTCTTATGTTATGACTTATAACTTAGCTTTGCACTAGTATTTTGGCTTATGTTAACTAGCCATTTTGTAAATTATGGAGATCTATTTTGGCTAATGTTAACTAATGTTAACTAGGATTTTCTAAATTATGGAGATCTTATGTACTTGTATTTGTTGAAGTTGCATGTATTGGCCACTATTATTTTTCTTCTGTTGGGTGATAGAGTTTAAATCAAGCTACATTTGCAAATTAAACCCAATTCTATTAGCAGGTAATAGAAACAAAACAATTGTCAATTTTTTTTAAGATTCATAATATACATGGCAAAAATATGCTCCAATTAACCCATATCATGAGATTTGTAGCATTACTCTATTACACAATGACAAAAATTTGTAGTCCTAGTCTAAGCAAACACAAATCTGGTGAACAGTACTGTTTTTCTTATCCTGCTTCTTAGTCCGAGACTGCACCAAACGCTTCACTAAGTTAGTCCAGCTTAGTCCAGTCTAAGCCAGTCCAGCTTAGTCCCGGCAGCTAGTCCAGTCCGAGACAGTCCGGCGCAACAAACGCACCCTTTATGTTCTGATTTTTTTTAATCATTTTACCTTTTCAGTCCACGTGTTTGTCATCCGTTTTCATTTTGCTTCGCTGCCCTTTTCGTGTCAACTCGTGTTGTTCCAGTTGCTTCCATTTGTTTCCAAAGATTCCACGCGTTGTTCATCGACGAATGCTTTCTTTTTCGTTATTTTTGGTGCAGATATGAAGAGGATTTGTGAAGTGCCAGTGATTTCATGGTAAGTTTCTTTGAACAGATTTGAGAATTTGGGATCGTTTGGGGTGTTTTGAAGTTTTTTTTATTGGGAAAAGAAACCCTTGCTTCCTCCCGCAATTTGTGCGCTTAGTTCTCAATTGGGTTCACAGTAAAAACCCATAAACTTTAGGTACGAAAATTTCAAAATTTTTTTGTGTTTTTTTTATTTCTTTTCAATATTAATTTCTTATTAAATTATTATTTTTGATAAACCTATTTAGAATCTAATCTGGGTTTTGTCTGGATTCCAGAGTAAAAACCTTGAAACTTAAAGGTAAGAAAATTTCAATTTTTTTTTATATTCATTTTCAGTGTTACTCTGTGATTAATATTATTATGGGTTTTCCAGAAATGCTATTCTTGCCGAAGACCTGCCATGTAAGTGATTTAATTTTTGCTTTTCGAATTTCGACTTTTCATGCATAATTATGAATATGTAGATGATTTGAGGGTAATTGTTTTTTACTTAATCTCCAATTCAAAGTGAAGGATATTGAGTTTTGTTATCATTTTAGTTAAAATGTGTCACCATTTTAGTTAAATTTAATCCCTAATTGATCTGACTAACCAGCCAAAAACAATTATACTCAAAATGTCCGCAAATAGATGGAATTCTATTAATGAAAACTAATCCTTAATGCTTCATCGGTTCTGTTGTGGGATCTCCATATAGCAAATTTATCCTAGTCTGTATTTCAAAAATCATAGGTTAGATTGACTACTCTAGCTATACAATTCTTCCGTGTATGCTTTCCCTGATTGATATAAAATCATACATGAATCTTCTGATTCAAATACTGTAGCTAATAAACAGATGAAATTAATTTGCAAAATTGGGTTCTGACATTTGGAAATTAGTTTGAAAGCATGTTTTTCTATATAGTGTTAAATATATGCACAAATGTATTAAAAAATTTACATGCTTTTGGGCAACTATTTTTGAGGTAGGTGAAGTCCTTCTGTTGCATTGATACATCTATATCTTCAATTAACTTAGTCTATTAACATTCAAATGAATTAAGATGTAATATTGTCACATGAAAGTCAGTACTTGCTGACCACATTTACACATCACAGAACACATGAACTACATTTTTCTTGGTTCTGCTTTTAAAAAAGAGACCTTTAACGAAAAACACCTGGTACTGTTCACTTTAACGAAAAACCATATTTTTACACTAAAAAGTCAATCTTGGTACTATTCACTTTACCTTTTATTTTGTCATTATCATTAAAACTCAAAGTTTTCAAGCTCTTTTCATTAGTTTTCCTTTTAAAAAAATATAGTTAACAAATTCACCGATTTGGTAAAGTGCTTTTATATGCACTTTAGAATTGTGATATCTATTAAGGGTAATATTGTCAATACACTATCAAGGGATAATACTTAGAGGTTAAGGAAAGTTGTTATTTGTTATGAGTTAGTTAGTCTACACAAGTATATATATACTTTTAGATTGTAATCTTATTTGATTGAGAAAATGAAAATATGTTTTTCAATATGGTATCACTCGCCCTCGTCTGACGACCTCTCTCTTCGATCCCAAATCTTCCCGCTTCTCTGCTACTCCGATCTTGATCTCAGATCTTGTTGAGTTTGATCTCCGATCTTGTTGTTCTTGATTTTCTTCTCTGCATCTCTGCTCATGGCTCCTGCCGTCTCTTCCTCTACGGCATCGGATTCTCCAATTCTTCCACCGTCGGAAGCTTCAAACCCTAATTCCTTGAATTCTACCTCAATTACCATACAGAACATTGGATCTATGGTTCCGATCAAGCTTACCACTACCAATTACCTAACATGGAGTGCTCTCTTTGCTCCAATTTTTCGTCGATACAACCTCACCGGTTTGATTGATGGTTCTTCGCCGGCGCCGCCTCAATTTCTCATCGACTCCTCCGGAAATCGCAGTCTTAATCCGGCGTATGTTGCTTGGTTTGAGAATGATCAGAATATTCTCATCTGGCTCAATTCGACTCTCTCGGAATCCCTAATTCCTTATACTGTTGGCGTTTCCTCGGCTCGAGAACTATGGGCCAAATTGGAGTCTCGTCTTGCTGCTGCCTCGCATTCTCACATCCACGAACTTAGATCTCGCCTTCGCAGTCTCACCAAAGGAGATCTCACAGCCGCTCAATATCTTCAACGCACTGAGGAGATTGCTGATGCTCTTGCTAGTGCTGGTGCTCCAATTGAAGATTCAGAGCTGATTTCTGTCATTTTACATGGCTTACCTCCTGAATTTGACTCGTTTGTGGATGCCATTCAGTTTTGTCTTGGTTCAACTACCATGGATGAACTCCATGGTTTGCTTCTTAGCAAAGAGATTCAATTGACAAATCGCAAGCAAAGTCCACCGGTGCCTTCCTTTCAGGCCTACAACACCTCCACTGGTCTTCTTCCTCTGCTTGTTCCTTCTATCTCTCACGGCTATGTTGCTCAGCAGTCGTTCTCCTCTCACAATCAAAACCGTGGACTGGATCGCAACTTTACTCGAGGCAATCATCAATCTCGTGGCAATTTCAGGCAAAACAACAATCCGCGATTCTCCAATTTCCCTCGAGGCAACAATCAGCGTTTCAATCGGGGCCCTCGGTCCAACTTTTCATCCAACAGGAAACTTTCTTGTCAAATATGTCGTCAATTTGATCATGAGGCTTGTGACTGTCCTCATCGCATGGACCCTCACTATACTGGCAAGTCATCCCAAACTGCGTTGGTTGCCAACACCTCCACCTCCTCCTCTCCATGGATTGTCGACTTTGGCGCTACTTCTCATATGACCAATAACTATGCCACTCTCCAGAATCCTGAAGTCTACACAGGGCTTGAACAAGTGTATATCGGTGATGGCAAAGGTTTGCCTATCACTCACACTGGCTCTTCTTCCATTCCCACTTCACATAGTAATTTTGCACTAAAAAATGTTTTATTTGTGCCTGATCTGAAGCATAATCTCCTCTCTGCAAATCAATTTCTTATTGATAATCAATGCTCTATGCATCTTTATCCCTCTCACTTTACTGTGAAGGATCTTTCTTCGGGGAGGATGCGTTTTAAAAGTCCTGTTCAGCATGGCTTCTATCCGTTTTATCCTTCATCTCACACTGGTGCCAAGCATTCAGCTCTTACTGCTACTCCAAAAGCTTCCCGGACTCTGTGGCATGGACGGTTGGGCCATCCTTCAGTCAAGATTTTAAATAAGCTTGCCTCTAAATCTTGTATCTCTGTGTTCCCACAAAAGACCTCTTCTTTTTGCTCAGCTTGTGCATTAGGAAAGTGTTCTAGATTGCCATTTGTATCCACTACATGTACTACCACGAAACCGTTAGAACTCATTCATACCGATGTTTGGGGACTCTCACCTATACCTTCTCAGGATGGTTTTCGGTATTATGTCATATTTGTGGATGATTTTACTCGATACTGTTGGTTCTTCCCTCTGAGATACAAATCTGATGTACTTTCAGTCTTCATGAAATATAAATCTTTGGTTGAAAATACGCTGTGCACCAAAATTATTACCTTGCGATCTGATTCTGGTGGTGAATACATGAGTACTCTTTTCTCTACTTTTTTGGCACAACATGGCATCCAGCATCAGTTATCTTGTCCTCACACACCCGAGCAAAATGGATGTGCTGAACGCAAACACAGGCATATTGTGGAAACTGCCCGGACTCTTTTTGCAGAATCTAAAGTTCCTCATTTATATTGGGTTGAGGTTTTTGCAGCTGCAATCTATCTCATCAACAGGTTACCTACTCTCTCTCGGCCCTCACCTTAGGAGTCTCTTTTCAAGACATTGCCTTGTTATGGTACACTCAGACTTTTTGGTTGCCTTTGCTTTCCGTGGTTAAAGCCGTATGCTTCTTCTAAGTTGGATGCTAAGAGCAAGCCCTGTGTTTTCTTGGGCTACAGTCTTAATCATAAGGGGTACAAATGTCTTGATCCAGCTACAGGACGCATTTATATCTCCCGGCATGTTCTCTTTGATGAAAGTAAGTTTCCATTTTCTAATCTTTCTTCTTCCTCTCCTCCTTCCCCATTCCAACCTGCAAGTTCATCCTCTGATATTCCATCTTCCTTAACCTTTACTTCTCTTCCTCCTTCCTCCTCCTCATCTTCTTTCTCTGGCCCATCATCCTTCCCTCCTCCCCCTGCACCACCGGCATCCTCATCACCCTCTGCGCCATCCTCCTCCCCTTCTTCCCCTGCACCACCACCACTTCCATCTTCCTCCATCAATACTCACCCTATGCAAACCCGTTCTAAGTCCGGCATTTCCAAACCTAAAGCCTTTACTGCCACCAATCATCCTCTTCCCTCTCATTTGTCTCTGGATTATATTCCTACCACCTATCTCCAAGCATCTAAACACCCTCATTGGCGCCAAGCAATGCAGGAGGAATTCAATGCTCTTCTTCATACTCAAACCTGGTCCCTGGTTCCATATCACTCTTCCCAGAATATAGTTGGCTGCAAATGGGTGTTTCGTATCAAACGAAAACCCAATGGCTCCATCGATCGCTACAAGGCTCGGTTGGTTGCCAAGGGCTTTCACCAACAGGAAGGTATCAATTACACTGAAACGTTTAGCCTTGTGGCTAAACCTGTGACAATTCGCCTCTTACTCACCCTTGCTGCTCAATTTGATTGGTTTCTGCACCAACTTGATGTCAGTAATGCATTCTTACATGGCACTCTTTCTGAATCTGTGTTTATGCAACAACCACCCGGCTTTGCAGACTCTACCAAGCCCCATCATGTGTGCCAGCTTCATAAGTCGTTATATGGTCTGAAACAAGCTCCCCGAGCTTGGTATGATAAACTCCATGCTGCTCTTGCTTCTCTTGGATTTGTTGGTTCTCAAAGTGACCACTCTCTGTTTGTCAAAAAGGACAAAGCCTTGGTATTTGTTCTTGTGTATGTGGACGACATTCTGGTTACAGGGCCCTCTTCTGTTGATTGTCAACATGTGATCACTCAGCCCAGCAGTTTGTTTCCTATTAAGGATCTTGGTCCTTTACACTATTTTCTCGGTCTTGAGGTCAAGCGCTCTTCTACTGGCATTTTCCTATCCCAAACTAAATATATTCTGGATTTGCTTCACAAAGCCAAAATGGTTGGTGCAAAACCCTGCAACACACCACTGAGCACCTCTAAGATTGATCATGCTTCTCCTCTTCTTGACAATGCTTCTGAGTACAGGTCATTGGTGGGTGCTCTTCAGTATCTAACTTGGACAAGGCCGGATCTTAGTTTCGTTGTCAACCTTGTTTGCCAATTCATGCACACTCCCAAAGTCTCTCACTTCCAAGCTGTCAAGCGTATCCTCCGGTATCTTAAGGGCACCATTGATCACGGTCTCTGGTTCTCGAAGTGCTCCTCTGTTCCATCACTCAAGGCCTTTTCTGATGCTGACTGGGTTGGTTGTGAGTTAGATAGGAGATCCACTGGTGGTTACTGCATTTTTCTGGGTAATTCTCTCATTAGTTGGAGCGCTAAAAAGCAACCCACTGTTGCTCGTTCCTCTACCGAGGCAGAGTATCGCTCCCTTGCCAACACTGCCTCTGAGATCACTTGGATTTGTCAATTACTTGCTGACATTGGCTATTGTCTGCCTTGTTCTCCTCAGCTTTGGTGTGATAACGTCTCTGCTATATCCCTTGCCAAGAATCCTGTTTTTCATGCTCGGACCAAGCATGTTGAGCTTGATTATCATTACATCCGTGAACAAGTAGTTGCCAAGCACATCTCCCTTCACTACATCTGCTCCCAAGACCAAGTGGCCGATATCTGTACAAAATCTTTAGCTACAACACGTTTTTTGTTTCTCCGGGACAAACTGCAACTTCGGGTTCCCAAGTTTCGTTTGAGGGGGGATATTAAGGGTAATATTGTCAATACACTATCAAGGGATAATACTTAGAGGTTAAGGAAAGTTGTTATTTGTTATGAGTTAGTCTACACAAGTATATATATACTTTTAGATTGTAATCTTATTTGATTGAGAAAATGAAAATATGTTTTTCAATAATATCTTCCCAATTTCTGTATAAATTGTGTTTCCATCATTAGGGTCCTCTAATTATGTACAATCTAGACAGATTCACTGTCTAATTATAAGTTTGTAGCTTCTCTACAATTTAAAAAGCAAGAAGATAAGTATTAATGGTGTGAATTAAAAACATGTAAAAAAATATTATTTATAATTGAACAATCTTATGTCAAACAAGTTCTTAAGATAACACTCAAACATAAGAATGACATAATATGTAACTTCGATAAAATTGCTGTAACGGTACAAAATTTTGTGCTACAAAACCTTACACATGTGTTTATAGTTCTTAGATACTTAACAGATGTAATTAGTTTTTTCTTTTTTTTAACAGATATTTGTGTCCCAAGCGACATACAGAATAATTTACAATGTCTTCAGCTTCTATTGATCTGGCCCAGTTTACAGCTTAGGGGAAAGAAGTAATACTCTCTCTCTCTCTCTGTAATGATTTATTCAGATTTCTCAATGTATGAGTGCTGCTTAAATTCGTATCTATCATTCGTGTTTAATTTTTAATAATTGATGTTTCAAAATGATGATATAATGGTAATGTTATTGGGTTTGTTTTGGTTTCTATCACCTATAGTATGTGTTTATCTCAGTCTACCAAAATATTAATCACCACATCAGTTCAATAGTAATTTTATGTATAATTTCTTTGTGACTTTCTACAGAACTTGGAATCAGACATAACATGTATGATGAATAAGAAACTCATACACAGAATGACCCCACCAAGGTATATGCAAATTAAAATCATAACTTGCGTCAATAGATAAGTATAAATTATTTTTTAGCACACAACTTTGACATAATAATTTGTCCCATAATTTATAAACATATTATACAGATTTCAGCTACTTGGCAATCAACGACTAATATCACTTCTAAGAAGGCAAGATCAACATATGGCATGTCAGAGCAGTATATTTTTCACAAACAGATGGTAAAATTGTACACATCACATTAGGCAAGTTTCAATCTTTTCTACTTCCATTTTAACACATTTCTAATTAACATTTCGTACGAAATTTTGATTACACTTTATTTATATATTTGATTTCAGAAAGTCGAATTACCACCTAGGAAAAAAATGAACTCCGGTTATAAGGTGACTTCACCTCTCTCTCCACTCTCTCTACCAAAACTCAGTTTTGAACTTCTTATGCATATTTTTTTTTTATTCATTGGCTAACTGTCTTTATTATCTTTTACAGTTGTATTCACAACTGTACAAGACACTCCGGAATTTGTTACAACAAAATGTCAATTTTTCCTTCTTTGGAAACATCTCAAGCTAGGAACAACTCTGTTATCCAAGCTTTACATTCATTGCATATAACAATTGAAAAGGCTAATAATGTTTTTCAACACTGTTTAGCATGTAGCAAGCTTTGTTTGACTGTATACTCTCAATACTGCATTTGTCAATTATGCAGTTATCATTAGTTCAACTTTTTGAATAAACAATTATCTTATACGTTACACTTTGAAAAAATAGATCTTTTTTTTAGTATCCAAATATTCTCGTTAATGATAAATTTACATATAAATTGCATTGCCATTCGTAATGTTCTGTTTTTCACTCAAACATTGTTTATGAAAATTGAAGCTATAAAATATTTTATATAATTTTCAATCTCGCAGCAACGCGCGGGTACAAATTTCTAGTTAGGTTCTAATAGGGTTTTGGGAAGGAATTAGGTTCTAATAGGGTTTTGGAAAGGAATTAGGTTCTAACAGTTTTAATTAAAGCTGTTAGGTTCGATTATCGTCAAGAACATATTTGAATTATATATTGTGAGACGTAATCTATTCTGGAAATGATGTCACTCACTTGTCACATTTTATCAATCTCCACTATGATTTTGGGTGCTCTTGATGTCACACAACTAGCTAATTTCATTTTCAACTGTCTAGTTTTAGTTTTACACGTTAAAAATTTGTTAATTAGACCAAGTCCAATGGCTAAGTACGAAATCTAGCCCCTTAAATTGACAATATTCAGAAAATTCAGTCTTCTAATTTTTGTTGTTGTTTTAATGGTGTGATAGATGACGATAAAAGGTGTTACGTGATTATTTTTTATTGGCTATCAATTTCCTTCTAACTAACTCCTTAAAAGAGCTTTGAACAATTGCTGGTTTCTTTGGAGAGACCTAAATTATTTTAGCCTAGACTACATATTTCGTTGAGGCTTATTTTAGCTGGCTCTCTGAAACTTAATTTTGATCTTACTTTACCCTATGTAACTTAAAAGTCGTCACTTTACTTTTTGAAACTCAAAATTTGATTATAAACCTCCATTATGCGTTAACATTCAAAAACACAAAATATTAAAATTGAGTTTTATAGCGTAAAATGATTAAATTCACAGAAAATCTTATAAACCTCCCTTATGCATTAACATCCCATATAATAGAATTAACAAAATTAAGGTAATGTGGAGCAATTTTTGAGTTTTATAGAGTAAAATGACGCTTTTTGAGTTTTGGGGAGCAAAATAGGATCAAAAATCGAGTTTTAGGAGGCAAAGTAGAGCGAATTTTGAGTTTTAGAGAGTAAAATGATGACTTTTGAGTTACAAGAGACAAAATAAGATTAAAATCAAGTTTATGTGGACATAGCTAAAAATAAGCCTTCCATTAAAATAATTTTTGTCATTTGGTATTTGCACAAATTAGGCATATGCTCCATCTCAACTGTGGCAGAATGCCTTGCTTTGCGAGATGAACTTTGGTTGGCTAAGGCCAAAGGTTTGTCCTGTATCATGGTGGAGGGTGACTCAAATTTGGTGATCGAGGCTATTAGAGGTACTTACAACTCTCCTTGGAGATTGAGGACCATTTTTGAAGATATTCGTTGGCTGGCTGAATTGTTCTCAGAGATTTCCTATAATCATGCCTTTAAGGAAGTGAATTTTTTAGCTGATGCTATTTACTAGAGTAAAGTTTTCGGTGTTGATTTTCATGTTTGGGATAATTCTATTCCTGTGGAAGCCTCTCGGACTTTTCTCTTTGATTGTACCCAAACTAATTGCCATAGAAGCTTTTCTCTTTAATTTTAGTCTCCTTTCTATCACAATAAAAAATATATGCTCCATCTCAACTTTTATTACATCAGAGCATCTTCTTTAGGGATTTTTTAGGGGTGTGATATCCCCACACTTTTTTTTACTTTTTTCACACCTTTTTAATTTTCGGCCGTCGAATCGGATGAATTGAAGAAGATCAATGGATAGAAATTAACAAAAAGTGTGAGACAAGTAAAATGAGCTGTGTGGATAACACATCCCAATTTTTAAGGTCATTTTATACTTCGATGACGTAGACTTGCCTTGCCATTTGCATTGCCTTTAAAAACTAGTCAAAACTATTATTATTTTAGTATATTTATACCATGCTCGGTGTGGAGGATTGTACAACATTTGTTTGTGACTAAAATATTAATAAAAAAACCCTCCCAATTGAAGAAGTTTTTGTATGAGGCGACCGGGCTCTATGGTTGATTTTGAGAGGAAAATAAACTCTATCCACATGTGAATGCGGCATAACAACTTATTTTTTTGGTTTTTTTTTCTTGTGTTTTGAACCCCACCTACGTGAATGCTAGTAGCCATTCATGTAGTTTTTTTTTTTTCTTTGAACCGGTAGCAAGGAGAAGATCAAGGAGAAGATCAAACGACAAAGATAAGAAAATATATTTTTGATTTGAAAAAAAAAATTTATATATTTGATTTCTGCTCTATATTTTTTTTAAGAATAATCAGACAATACAAATTTAAATATAACGATTAAAATAAAATTAAAAGATTATTTCCCTCAAAACTCTATAAATACTAAAATACTCGTCTCTGGGGAATTTTGAATCCCCAAAATTTGGCGCCCAAACCGCAGATCAAATCGCCGCCAAAATTTTCAGTAATACCAAAATCCCACATCGACTTGTGAAATCCGAAAGCAGAGAAGAAAATGCCGACCGTGTTCATCGCAGTTCAGTGCTGCCAATGCTCCACCATGCAGGTATGAACACTTGAATCTGAAACTTGATGATTTTGTTTGGCGATGAATGCCGATTAAATTTGCAGGTGAAGCAGAGGAACAAAAGCAACAGGTGGACATGCGTCGTCTGCAATCAGAAGCAGTCCGTCCGCCAAGTGTTTGCTCAAGGTCCCATGGCCAGAGACCTCCGCCTCTTCGTCCAGTCCTCCAACATGTCTCGCCAGTTCGCCCAGCAAACGCATGATCAACAGCAACACCAACAGCGACAAGAACAAGATACTCTTATTTCTTCCGATTGCTCGTATAAGACCGAAAAGCGAAGACGAAATGACTGGACCCAGTACCTGGATCCTGAGGACAGTGATCGGGGCGCCAACATGAAGCCAGAAGACGAAGCAGGTGATGAGATGTTTTGGGTTATGGTTGAAGTTTGAAATTGGGAAAAGAGAGAGGGGAATTCTACCGTGTTTATCGGTTCGATTGGTTTCGGTGCAGGTTCTGGTTTTGAGCCTGAGATTGTAACAGAGTTTCCGGCGGAGTTGTGGAAGAAACCAAAGCTGAGCAAATATGGTGTAGATGAGCTGCACAGTCACAAACCGATTTTCTCTAAGAGGAATTTCAACAAACATGTCATCTCCCTTCCACAAGGTATACTTAAGTAAGCTTTTCTCTTGAGCCTTCTTTTCTTGGTCCGGACCATTGAATTAGCGACTAAAAGTATTCATTGTGAGAGGGATTAGTGAAGTCATACGGATGAATTATGTCGCATGAATTTCGTAATAAGAATGCATGGCAACGAGAGCAATTGCGAAGCATAGCGGCGAGTAAGTAGAAGGATCATTCAATCGGACTATGATTAACGTGAATGCATTTTGAATGACAGACACAGAACAGGCAAGGCGCGAGCTGACAGACACCAGGGAGAGTTCACAAGTACAGAGGCATTTTATAGCAAGAGATGAGCAGGAACCGAGAAGAACATGTCAGGCTACAAAGGCTACACTAACTGGTGCTTCTAAATGGAGTGACTATGTAACCCAAGACGAGGAAGACGATTGCAGCTTGCGACTCATTACAAGGAGAAAACATGCAGACAATGCAGGCCAATGCAGCAATGAAATTGACAAGACAACAGCAAACTATGAGACAGTTCTGGCAAATGATGAGACGGTAGAAGATGACATTCATCCTGATTTCCTGTAAGCTTGTTTCAAGAGTTAAAGAGTACAGGTTTGCGACAACACTGTCCAGCGATTGGCAAAGATCCGCTTTGATTCCAGAGGTGTTGCTGCCCCCGACTGACTGCTGTTGCTTCAATGCTACTGCACTTTTTCACTGAAACAAGTATTATGCATTTCTGTACTGCGCACAGTATTGCTTCCATGACTGCAGAAGCAGTTGCACCTATTATAAGCTTAGTTCCAATTGATGCAGTATCAGTTGCCGAGAGACTAACCCTTACGCCTCTTGACAACGATAAAATGATTACACGTACGTAACAAAATGAAGCATAATATGAAAGAGAGGTGAAAATATTCCAGCAAAAAAATTCAACTTGAAATTCTAAAATAAAATTGTCATAATAATTCTAAGAAAATGAAAGACGCTGACCAAAATTCTAGCAACCTTAGGTCTTTAAATCCCTTCACGCAAGTACCTATCAATATTCTTATGGAAAAAAAAAAATCCGACTATCAACGCAAAGTCATCTAGGCCAGTAACAAAACGGAGCCTTAGTATCAAAAAAATGTGAAGAAAAAGAAGAGAGATTCACTCATTCAGATCCAATGCACCAAGCTGATCAGTAACTTCAGACTTCGTTGTAGCTTTATCCAGAACATCCATTGCCTCAGCTACCTTGGCCTTCAAGGCATCTGGAGACTCAATCAGATGGAGAACCTCCGTCTGATCCATCTCTAGCAACATCCCAGTCACCTTAGCCGTGTGTTCAGGTTCAATGCGCTCAACAAGTGGATATAGTTGTTCGCCCAGCATCTTTTCAAACACAATAATAACTAGTAAGTCTAGAATAAAAACACAAGTGGCATCAAATGCAACGCAGGTTGAAAGAGTAATAACAAGAGGGTTAAAGAACATACCAAACGCTGATTCTCTGGGGTAGCAGAAGCTAAAGCTGAAGCAAGTGTTGACATTGGCAAAGGCCCAGAACGATGGATATCATTAGGAGTCACAGGCAGCCCTGCACCGTCAAGTGGCAAAGGCATCATTGGACCCATATGACCTTGAGGAGCCAAAGATGGGTCCACTCCATTCCGTGCATTTCCCATGTATCTGAAGCCTTGATTGGAGTGACGGTGCAGTAACTGAAATTATGGATGAGTCAGAAAATATCAAAGTTGAAAGAAAAAACTGACAATAGTGACTATCGAGCACGTGCTGCAGTAAGATAATGCATCATAATCAATAATGAAATTACGCAAGTGACTATTGAGCAGGTGCTGTAGTAATGTAGTGCATAATGACCAATAATTAAATTACGCAAACCCATTAGTGGTAATGAAGTTTTGATTAAATGAAAAAGAAAACTGCTATGCCAAATCAGGAAATTATTGCACCACCTGCTGCTGCTGCTGCACATGTTGGAGGTTCCCACCTCGACGTGCACCCATTCGCTGCCCAGGTTGACCTTGCCTCTGAAGGTGGTATGGCATGATGAAGTTTGGACCAACACCAGGGCGCATGCCAGGCAAGAGCTGCTGCTGGAAGCCATAACCAGCAGGCTGTTGGGGTAGAAGGCCAGGAGAACCTTGACCATAATACAATTGTTGAGGGGCAAGTCTAGGTGCCCCAGGATGATAACCAGGAAGTCCTGATGGCAATGGTGTCATTCCACCTGGTGCTCGGATTTGGGCAAAGCGTGCCTGAAAATAATGAGAAAGGTCACCTGTGTAAAGTTTCTTTGGAATAATGGATTTAAGTGACAATTGAGGCTTCGATTATCGAGAAGCAAAATATAAGATAATAAATTGAGTACTCCCGCCCTGTACATTGGAGTTAATCAGCTTTAGAAAAGGAAATCGACTTTATATAGCTATGCTTTCGGACTCAAAATGTATAAGCAGAGCCCCTCTGCTAAAGTCAAGTACAACGAGCCCTATGCAGATCATTTCTATAAAAAATGCAGAGAAATGCAATATATCCGAGGCATGTAAAAGTACAATGTTAATAAATGAAAGGAAAGCCAGCACCATCTGGATCGGTTTAGTAATAATTTGTTCCACAAAGCATTCTTTATAATTTTTATCCTCAAATGAGAACCTACAAGTATAATTCTACATTAACCAAAAAAATAAAAATTAAAGATTCCAAAACGATAAAAGGAAGGTGCAATGTAGAAAACTACCTGTAATCGAGCCTTTCGCTCTTCTTTGCGTTGGGCCACAGCGACATACAGAGGCTTTCGTCCAATCATCTTGCCATTCATTTCAGCCAACTGAAGAAGGGAAAAAGGAAGTTATTAATGCAAAAATTACACAAAACTGATGGGGGGATAAAGCATTGCGGGATGTTCCAAGAATTCAGCATATAATAAAAAGCTTACGGCTTTATTGGCTTCCTCTGGAGTAGAAAATGCAACAAATCCAGAACCCTTGCTCACCCCTTGCTGATCAAGCATGACCTTGAAAAAATAAAGAAAATGAACATTGTTCTTTTAATATATTATTTTTTAGGAAGCTTCGAAATAATAACTATAGCTAACCTTTCGAAAGGACCTACAAAGGAGACATAAACAGGAAAGGCAAACCAGCATTACAGTTGAAATAAGATATACCTTGCACGATGCTATTGTTCCAAATTCAGAAAATAGCTCCTTTAGTTTTTCATCATTTATTGTGTCATCGAGATTTTTGAGATATAAATTAGCACCTTGTAGCTTCTCAAATCTACTGAGTCTTTCCTGTTCAAACTTAGCTCTCAACTCTGCCTCCCTCTCGGATTTCCTTTGAGCCCTCCCGACAAATAAAACCTTGTCACCACTAATGGTGCTCCCATTCAACTTCTCAATTGCAGCAGCTGCTGCTTCTGGCTTCTCAAAGTTAACAAAACCAAAACATCTAGACTTTCCAGAACCATCCCTCATAACAACCGCACTAGTAATGTTACCATGCTCGCCCATAATTTTCTTAACGTCTTCATCTGTAGTTGTCTCCGACAAATTTTTAACATAAACATTAGTGAAATGTGGTGATCCATTTTGCCGATTCCTCTCCTGGCCTCGTTGAAAAAGTCCTACATAAACCAGTTTTCCATTTATCAGCATTTTATTCAGCTTCTTGATTGCCTCCTGTGCAGATTCCTCATTGTCAAACTGTACGAACCCATAGCCTTTCGATTGACCGTTGCTATCAAGTGCAACCTTGCAAGAAAGAACGTTGCCAAAGGTTGAAAAAGTGTCCAATAACGCCTTATGATCAATACTTTTGTCCAGGTTCTTAATGAATACATTGGCCTTTCCGCTCTTCCGAATGCTTGGATCTCGATGAGAGTACATAATCCTAATGGGTTTCCCATTGATTGGAGTAAAATTCAACACTTCCAGAGCATTAGCAGCTGCAAGTTAAATGGCAACAAAAATTACAGAGACCAATTCCTAATAGAAAAATATATATTTTTCCTTCAAATGACGGCCGTAATAAAATATTCACTAGTTTGTTTCATCCTATACAAGTCTTCAACTTCACCCATAAAACAAAAACAAATGTTTAGAGAATAAACAATGCGACTACAGAATCTTCCGACAAATTCACAAAACGAAACCAAATTCCACATGCTAACAACAATAACAGCAAAAATTAAATTAGTAAACAAATCAGATTCACGCAACACAAAAAAAAAAAAAAAAAAAAAACCAAAATAAAATTACAAAAACATAAGACAGAGATTGTGTGTTGAATCAAACAGGCAAACGCAGAGACAGATTACGAGAATGCGAAAAGTACGGACCGTGCTGAGGATCGCCGTAATTAACGTAGGCATAGCCGAGGGATTGCATGCGGTTCTGATCCCGACAGACCCGAATCGAAACGATCTGCCCCATTTGGTTGAACAGATCGTACAGCTGCGCTTCGTTCACACTCGGGTCCAGATCGCCTACGTACAGCGACACGTTCCCATAAACCGCCGGAGCCGCAACCGGCGGCGCCTGTTGAGCGGCCGGAGACACTGGTTGAGCCACCGGACCGGATACCGCCGCCGCCATTGCCAAAAATAATCGAATAAATAATTTAAAAAATCGGAATTAGGGAAAGGGTGAGGGTTTGCGGAGGATTCTTTGTGTTTAGAGTGATGAGTAGGGTTTCTATTGCTCGAAATGGAATGAATTTTATTTTTTGGGAAAAATTTAACGGAGAAATTATTTTCGGGGATTTGTTTTATTTTTTATTTTTTATTTTTTGTTTCCTTTTCTTCTTTTTTCTCTGGAGGAGAGAGAGAGAGAGAGAGGGAGGGAGAGGGTGGAGAGAGGAGGCGAAGAGTGGTATATACACGGGGAGAGAGAGAGAGACAGAGAGAAGCGAACCGGTGTGTTTGGGGTTCGTAGCAATTAAGGTAGGGAAGCGCACGTGTGGTAGATGACGTGGCATTCTTTGAATCTGGAATGTGAGGATGTGGCCGCGCTTTTTCTTTGCTTTACGGCTGTGGTTTGCTGCTGGCCCCCATTTTGTTGGTTACGCGTCGCCCGGGGCTTTGGACACGTCTCTTTACTTTCCCAAGTGCCATTTGGCCGATTCCTTTTCTTGGGACATCCTAGGAATCCAATGATCTTATCCGTTCATTGCACATTGTGCGGTCAGAAATCATTTTAAAATTTAAAATGTAAAATTAAATATAAATAGTACCTAATGATTTTTAACTGCATAATGTATGATGAACATATAATATCACTGAATTCCTAGAATGTTTAGGAAAAGGATCCGGCGAGGATCATTTTCCTTGGCATATATCTCTGCCTTTTCGTATATTTCTCCTATTTCAAAAACTATATTCTTTTCAAATTTTAGCGTAGAATATTGTTTTTATTAAGAATTAGTATGTGGTCCCATAAAGTGTGTGTAAAAATATTTTATTTTTTAATTTTTTTTAATTAAAGATATGTTAGAATTATATGTAGATGAGACTTTGAAAATAAACAAGATTTTAGTTGTATGAAATTACATTTATGCTCATATTTCTTATTTATATTCAGTTTTAATTAGAGAGAGAATGATAATTTCATAACGTTTTGATTAACAATGAAGGTTGTATTAATATGTATTTAAATAAAAAATAAAAAGAATTTATTGACACACCTAATGTGACAGCCCGTCCCTAATTTTAAGATTTTTTTTTTTTAAGTTTTAATAAAGGATTTTACAAAAATGCCCTTTGAGGCACGCACATCATTCGAGGTTAATCGTTGTGTCGTGCCATCTAAGATTTGTCTTCTTGACATATCCCCGTAGTACTCGTCGTTACGGACGTGTAGGCGCAGACGGTTCGTTATTTGGAGTTATAACGAAAAAGATTTTAAAGTTTGAAGTTGGACATTTTATGAATTTTATTATTAAAATTTGGATGGCCCAGATTAAAGGATTTTGAAATGGATGGCTGGGATGAGAAAAATGAAAGTTTTGTGTAGGTGTGTGCGTGGGAAGAACCAGAAAACAGAAAAGAAGAAGAGAGATTGGGCAAAAACTGCCCAATCGGAGAAGAAGAGAGAGCGAATCAGAGGCAGAGAGAGGAAGAAACTGACCAATCGGAACAGGGAAAGGAGGAAGGGAGAGAGGGTGAGAAGCGGAGGAAAAGAGGAAATGGGTTGGGGAGAACCCGTGGGTCGTTTCGACCCGGCGGTGCCCACGCCCAAATTCGATGGATTTCGTCCAAATTTCCGACGAATTGAGTCAAGGTACCACTTCTAATCAACATCTATGCCTTCCCTCTTCACGTTTTACCCCAAGAATCATTGAATTTCATTGTGATTTCGCGAAGAACACCCCTACAGGTGCCGCGACTCTTTTGTTTAAATTCTCCAAATTTTGAAATGTTTTCTTTCAATTACTAACACCATTAGCATTACTTTAGGACCTAGAACAAAGCCCAAGAGGTAATTGAAGCGTTGGAACAAGTTTGAAGGTCGAATTGGAAACACCCAAATTCTAGGGTTCTTCACGGTTTTGGTGAAATTGAAGCACTTCCAGGCCAAATTGGCCTTGGTCTCAGGTATGAAAGTTGTTCTACTCATTGAGATCTTCAAATCTGAAAATTTTAGTAATTTTTAGAATAGTTGAATTTTCCGGCGAGCCGGGGGCGGCCAACCGCCACCCGCGGCGGCCCGCGCGGCGGCGCGTGGCCAATGGCCCGCCAATGTCATTATTAGCATGTGATTAAGGTTCTAGGTTCAGTTTTGATAATTGATGGACGTAAATTGAATAATTGAACCTAAGTTGGTTACGATTCGTGGTTAGGTGAAAATGTGAATTGACGATCCGACCGTTGGATCGTCATCAAACTTTGATACGTTGTAATAAGTAATATTTGAGGATTATATGAACTTACGGATTGGGAATCCGATTTACGGATCTTCCGGAATTGAAGTTGTAAGTTCATAAAATAGAATGTTAACCGTCACTTAGTTTTGGAAATTGACGGAGATCCGACCGTTGGATGGTAATGAAATTTTAGGATGTTGTCCTAGAGGTATATTGTGGACCTCTGGAAGTTACGGATTTGAAATCTGAGTTGCAGATCATCCGGATCGAACTACGTAGTGACGTGTCTTATATAAGTTATGTATTCTATCGGCAGAATTTCTGAGGTTGGATTTAATTATTGTTCTAGGCACTAATCTTCATGACGCCTTGATGTACGGTGCTAGGGAGTTGTTGGGCGAACTCCAGGTGAGTGGGCAGTTTTGTTTTCGTATTACCTTTATACTATTGATTTTTCCCAGAAAACGAATTTATATGAAAATATGTTTTAAAAATGCCATGCATAGAATTATTTGAAAAATGTGAATTTCATATTAGTTATATGAATTGATATTTGATGCATACATGTTGCATGGTGCGGTGAAGGCACAGGTAAGTCAGGTGAGTTCATTTATTCATTTGATTGATTGTTGATAAATGCGTTAAGCTCATAACCTGCACCCTAGGTGTTAGTGCTTATATTATTCACCACACCGCACGCTCGCCTTGGATCCAAGTAGGTGGATGTCGTACAGACCATGTGAGGGTTCCGACATGCCAGTCGTACAGACCATTAGAGGGGTTCCGACTGGTGGGTGACCTTAGATATGCGCGCTGATGATTGATGTGAGAAGCACTAGAGCGTATTTTTACACCTTTCATCGTATAGACTACCTTACGTAGTTCCGAGTGATGTGCAGAGTAAGGCCGTATAGGTCACTGTGGTGACTCCGGCTTAGTGAGATATGGAGCTATTGAATTAATCGTATAGGACCAACTGCAGGGTCTCCGATTGATTCCTTATTTCACCTGATTTCTATGTTGATTTATGGCATGGCATGTTTTTCTAAAAAAAAAATGTTAAAGATTTGGGATTCAAGTTTTGAGATTTCGTATGGTTTTATATATATATATATATATGTATATATATATTTTTTCCTGAAAAGTGTTAAAGGTTTGAGATTTGAGATTTTTGCATATATATATGTTTATATATATGCTATTTTCTGGGAAAGTATACATGTTTTACGGTGAGGGGTTATAAATGTTTTAAATGAAAAGTCTTCGAAAAACTTTGTTTTACTGACCCACTCAATTTTGTTTTGCGCCCCTCCAGGTTCAAGTTAGCAGAGCTTTGGTGGCCACGAGGAATCCAACGGTGTTCTGACAGAATTCACAAATGTATGACTCACCCTCGGGTGTCTCATCTTAGTAATTGTAATTTTTCTTAAAGCTTCCGAACTGTGTAAATGGTTACGTCACTCTCACGTGACGGCCAGCACGCCCTCCTTCGGGATGGGGTGTGTCACCTAAAATCTCAATATGCACTCCTCCTACATCTTTAATTTATTTATTCTCACTTTTTTTTAATGTGCTTTCCGATTTTTCCCATATATATATATATATATATATATATATATATATCTTTTAATGTCCTAAAATTTTGAAAATCTAATTAAATATCATTTTCATGACACAAATATTTTGGTTATTAATGGTTATTTTTGTTTTTTTTTTTTGTTTTTTTTTTGTTTTTTTTGTAAGGGTTATTAATGAATTGACGTGTATTGCTTGGTGTAGATATTTTGTTTTTCTTATATTATTTCTTGCCTTTGCTTAGCAACAATTTTGTTATGTTGAAAAGAAGGAAGAAAAATGTTGGTTGATAATCTTTGCTTTGCTATTGTCTCATAGCAAATTTAGAAAGAAAAAAAACAATTTAATTGAAATTCCTGTTGCAGTCCTATTAGATTAGGAATATGATTATGTAAATCATAGTATATCTTGAAATATCTCTTATATTCCTATTAGGGGTAGATTACCTTTTAAATGTTGTAATCCTAAAGGGTAAGGAATTAACATTTCCTACTACTATAAATAAAGGCACAATGGGGTGAATCAAACATACCTCACAATTATACATCTCTCTCTTCTCTCTATATTGCCACACCTTTATCTCTCTATGGCCTCCATAATTGTTCAGTAAATTATGCCTACAACATGTTATCAGCACGCTCTTGACGCTGTGCTAAAGAGAGTTTGATTTTCAATCAGGGGTGTATTACGTTTTAATTATTCTTTTTATGATTAATTCTGATTTTATTGAATTGATCTACATGCTATTGATTCAATTTAATTTTTTCTGTGTTGAACGTGATACAACGCATTGGAGATGCAATTCCGGCTTTAAGAGAATGATCTTATACAAGTTCAAAGGCTTTGTTGTTTTCTGTCAATCATGTATGCTTAAAATAAAGTAAGATATTTGAAATGACCTTGAAACATGAAAACATTCCCCATAATGCATGAACCCCCTATGTTTATATTTTCCTTCTGATATATATATATATATATATATATATATATATATATATATTTTGTCAATATATATATTTGTTTCATACATCGCACAATTAAATTGTTATGTGAAATATGTGAGTCAAAGTATCAAATTAAATTAGAAGCAAATATGAGTTTCCTAAACCCTAATGGATTTTTGAAAAAAAGGGCATTGGGCATGGTGCGGCACACCCACCGTTCCATCATTGTGCAAATAGAAACCAGGCTTCAGCCTGGAGTCAATTTGACGGGCCTGAAGCTCTCAGCCTATTTGTACCTTGATCCATGGCCTGCTGTTTTTTCTTGAACCAAACCAAGCCTCGGCTTGGGTTCCATGCAGCCTAGGCCTGCCACCTTCATTCAATCTAGCCCAGTTGGCTCAGTTTTCTGCCACGACCCGTGTATTTCACGTAGCCCACATGGTTAGGCTTGGTCCCTGCAGCCAACCCATGCGGCTGGGATTAGCTCTTGTGCGCCCAAAACCCATGGCCAGCTTGCGCTGGACCTCACCCGTTCCCCCCTTGGGCCCATATTTGAAACCCAGCTACGGCTGGGATTTCACCTCACCCCCGTGACCTGAAGTTCACACTCAAGGCCCTTTTTAGGCCCTGCCTTTTCTACTTAAGGCACCCAACATGTGCCCCTTACCCACGACACCTAGCCCAAATTATTTTGGGGCTATACTTTCGATCCAATAATATTATTTTGCTTCTACAATCGACCCTGTATGACCCGATTTATTGAATTAATTAAAAGTGACAAGCAATCCATTAATCTGATAATGAATCCAAAATTATTGACCTGAAGATCACTTTTGGACTTTAATGATTCAATAATTTATTTTTATACTTTAATTGTTGACTTACTTTCGTAGTCCCGAACCACTCACACTTGAGTTCCCGAAGAACCTCAAATCCACTACACTTAGTTGTATATTGCATTCTGTGTTCTTGCAGGAATCTCTCTTTTATGAACTAAATGTTCATAAATAAATTGAACTTGTAGTTTCAAATTTAGTGCCTTTGAAACCCGAAGTTTTCATAAATACACCCATGAAAACCATGTTTTAGAATTCGAATGTTCTAACTTTGATGCTTATGGATGATTCATTCTCATAGCACCAATCACAATCTTGTTCCCTCCAATTTAGTGGATCGTCGAATTGTCACAAGTTCGATTTTCCTGATTTGGACATTTTCTAAGAGAAACCACTTTATGTGGGGTACAAGACGTGAATCTCCACTTGACTATCAAGAAGCTGATAAGCCATTGAATCCAACAATGGCATGGAAGAGATGAATAAGCCTCCGCTATGATTTTCATTCGAAGACTTATACTCAAAGCATTACAAATGGAAATACCTCCCGATCAAGGATTCCATGGCTATTTGGCTCGCTCCTACGGATTGTCTAATCATAAAAGACATTGCCTGAAGCACACCATGATTACGTCCATGAATGAGTACAATTCTGAAGTTTATAAATCCGATCGAATTTTGACTGGAGAATACTTTTCTCGTCTTTCCTTACTTCTAACTTGCCCTTGAAGCAGCAGTATAGAAAGCGGAAGTTTACCAAATTCTCGGACCTAATTACTACCACAAACATATGGTAGAATTAGGGCTTGCCAAGGTGTGGCATCATGCCCGAAGTGTGATCCTTGGTACCTAAGACCTAAAACTTCAAGAATAAGGGATAATATTCCTGAACGTTAACCTTGTAGAATCTATTTCCGTCTCGATGGAATAGACCATTGGTTATGCACCTGTTCGTGCCCCTACCAATGTTGTTAAGGAAATACCATTCTAGTAGTCAATACGTGAGACTAATTTTGCTATACCAAACACTGTTGGAAGAGCAGAATTTTGACATGGATGGCCTTGTTGGCCGAATCCCCTTAAGTAAACCATTTACTTTATGAACATTTTTCCATGGTCTTGGATTTACGTTTGGTGTATGATTTACTTATGGATAATCTTATTGATATTGTCTTTGAATATGAGTTAATTGAATCATGTTTCTTAATACATGTGACCGATTCAATTAAAGGAAAACTAATGAAAATGACTTGAAAACTTTGAGTTTTAATGATAAGGACAAAATAAAGGGTAAAGTGAAT